TGTCACTGGCAGGTCTGCAGTTCAGTTGTGTGGCCTGTGCATCATACACAGGAGCCTCAGTCACTAGTAACCAAGGACAACTGAGCAGGTTTTTATTTTAGTAAAAAATAGGCAAATTTTGTAAGGTGTTTCTTTTTCTTTTTTTTTAACAAAAACACTAAGTGTCTTTTCTTGGTCCCTTTCCTCTGACTGACTGTGCAAAACTGGTTTGACTTTACTTTAATTGCATTTAAGGGAAGTGTACCAACCAATCAGTAGTTGAGCTTTGTGCCCCATTACTATGGAAGTTACCAGGGACACCTTATACCAGTATGCCTTCACCTGACAGACCTAAGTGCCTTTCCATTGTTGGCAGGTAACTATAGAAGGTAGATTATGAACATAAATGACACAATAAAAATATCTGTTGTAACACCACCTGTGTGACTAAACATGGTATTGGTCTGTTGTTTATTGCGACTCAACTCAGGGTTTCATCCAATTTCAGGCCAAAAGTAGAGATTACATCTCCTCCAGACAGAAGCAGGATTGTTTTTTCCAACCCAGTATTTCCTTCTCCTTGCACGATAAACAGCAAGTTAGAAACAAACGTCATAAAATGATGATTTAGAACTAATTCACTAAACAGTTCACTTTATTTTTTGGCAGAACTAGCAAGTTTAGGTTTTGTCTTTTTGGTGTTGATTACCTTTGGACCTGCTCTCTTTCCAATTGATCTCAAACAGACTATTACTGACGATCTCAAAATATCAACAATAATCGCTGTCCTGAAAGATGAACACACTGCCTCAAAGCATCTTCCCAAATTTCACTCTAGTATATTTATTTCATCAGTATCTGATAAAACTTCAGGTAAAACAGTTCCCTCCGTTTTCGGGGGTCGGGGGAATCACCACCACCACCAGGTAATGAAGGAAGGAAATCGTGATGTATTTTGGAGAATCTTTTCGATTCTTGCGAGAACATCTTGTGTTTTCCCCTCTTCACTTTCTTCACATAAAAAAGTTATTGCAGATGTCCCTTGGGTAAAGAGTGTCCGGTTCCCCCGTGTGGTAAACACAGGTTATAGGACACTGGCACTCATTTCACAGTGATGAGAGCTGCCTGCTCACAATGGTAAAATACACACATCAGATAAACACAAGCCACCAGGGAGGGGGCCCATTATTAACTGCTCTATTTTTTTTACACTCGCAACATGCCAGATACCATCGCAGCCATTTACTGTTTATCACAGTAGCACACAGGCATAAAGTAGCAATTGTGAGGAGGAAATTCGAAGGAAAAGAAAGGAAACATTATCCTTTCCATAGAATATATACTTAGCTGACAATATCAAAAGTATTAATTAACATTTGACACAAGTTCCCGCATTCCAGCAGCAACAATAAGTTGACATTATAACTGTACACAGATGATTCTGTGTTTACTCACATATTTAATTTTAACTTCAACGGTTTAGATTTTGAAATTTGTAGTCATGATGGAAATAATAATCAATCACATATTTCTAGGCTTGAAGATTAACTCTCGGTAAAACATTCTTTAATAGATTATTTTATATTTGTATTGATAGTGTATAGAGCATCAGTAAAATGCTTGTTTCTAAGAAAACACCAATCCAGGAAAGCTGCAATAACGAGACTGGGGTCGGGTTTTTTTTTTTTTTGTTTTTTTTTTTCCAGTCACTCATCCTATAAAAAGAAGATCTTGTTACCTCACAACAGGATTTTCCCGTTTGTATATATAAAAAAATCTGAATTGTTGATGTAAACAGATAAACTGTACAGAAAGAAGTGCCGCAGATTCAACAATTACATTTAACGTAAATTGGTTTCGTTCTGTCACAGGCTCTAACCCGATGTCTAAGTTGGATCTCCTGCGAGAACATGGGAAAAATGCGGTTTGGACACAATGGGATGAAGGGTACAGAAATGGCCCCCACCTCCGCCCACCAAAACCACATTTTGTTTCCTTCTCATGATGACAGGCAGCCCACAGGCATCACCTGTCCTCATTCAGGTGGCCCTGATTGGTTCACACCAACGCTGATCTTCACTGCTCAGTCTGCATAGACTTCAGATAAAGGCTTGAGTCTAAGCCCGGTGTGTGGATGTAACTGTCTGAGTCGGTCACTGACATAGGACAGAATGTGGACTTTTTACATCTCAATTGTTTTTTTGTTCGTCACACAGGTAATCTGAAGTTCACTTCTTTGATTTTGGAGAAATTGTATTATATTTTGTTACTTATTGCAAAATGATATTCATGATTTTTTTTTCTTCCATTTTAGATACAACATGCCTGGTCGAATGGTAAAGTAACATTAATAAGATTAGATGATTTGCAATTTGACGGCCCGCCTTGTTTTATATATATATAAATATATATACAATATATAGGCTATATATATAAGATATATACAGTATGTCTATGCTGCTAACACTTTGGGGTTTTTTTTTTCTTTCAGCATGTCTTAAAAAAATCTTAATGTTTTCCTCTACACTATCTCTTTTTTCTACCTAGTGTGTCCAATTATATCAATGACATCTACTGCGACAACGATGACCGTGACTTGGGACCTTTATGCCGGCAGTACAGTCTATAAGTTAGTCCTTGATGCAGCAGATAATAATGTTGCCCCAGTAATTACGTCATCACCAAGCACGGACACAGAGAAGACGGTTTTTGGCTTGTTACCTGGGACGTCCTATGAAGTTGAACTCACAGTCCTTAATTTTCTGGGTCCAATGTGCACAGATACTCAAACCGCATTCACAGGTAAAGGCATACGAGAGATTTGAAAAGTCAACAGAATCATTCAATGTGAAGTGACACTGAATTCCTCTCGACGTGTCCCACAGTGCCTGTGGCACCTCAGTTCACCACTTCTGTAGCTGTCTCAAGCACAGCTATAGACTTCGTATGGTCCAGTGTGAATGGGGCGGTGGATTACCACGTGGTCGTGACTGATCATAACAATGTCCTCATCAACTTTGAAGAAACTGTACAAGGTCTGGAAACACAAATAACCGGCCTTTCACCAAAAACAAAGTACGACTGCATCGTTTACGCCTCCAACACTGCTGGAAACAGTGCCAACAGCTTTAAGAGGACAATATGGACGTGTGAGTATATTTCCAACGCCGATTGACGTCTGTGGTCTTTTGTCAAAGTAAAATGTAAAAACTCTAGTACATTTGGTGCACTGATTTGACATGGTGTTTTTTTTCACAACATATCTCTGAACAAAGGCAGCGGTCCCTGACAAACTCTTCTCACTTTTTTAGTGACACAGCCTCCAAGTGAGCTTACGGTGGTATCATCTGAAGCAAATTCAATCGTGGTATCATGGCCTGCAGTAGACGGTGTCCTGTTGTATAAAGTGTCCCTGAAGGACACAGACAACCCAGACATTCTACCTGAGGTGGATGACACCTCAGCTTTATCCAAAACTTTTTCTACTCTGGAACCCTGCTCCAATTACGAGGTGTCTGTATCATCCCTCAACACTTTCTTGCTGGCTGGAGAACCTGTGATTTCTACTTACTCCACTGCAAGTGAGTGTTTTACCCATTAAAACAGGACAGTCCTGTACAGTTGACTTGTACACGGAACAGGACGATTGGTGAAAGTCATTTACAATGCTTTGAAGCCATGCTTTTAGAATGGAAGCAAACAGAGAAGTAGACTCCAAAAGGTTATTTAAAATTATTATTATTATTATACATAAACTAAGAATATTATTCATATTTATATATTTACACCTTCATGTTTGCACCTTTCCCACAGTTTGCAGTATATATTAGTATACTGTATATATTTCAATTGTGTATATTACACTTCTGCACTGTATCATACTAACTTCTGTGTTGTTCTTGTTTTTGTCATTTCCTGTGGTGTATGGTGGCTCAGTGGGACCACCCTCAGTTTGGTCGTAGCCCCCAGTAAAATGTCAGAAAAGACTTTTCTCTATTCTCCTGCCATCTGATTACACCTCTGTACGTTTTTTTTTCCAGATATAGTCTCTGCGGCAAACGTAATTCACAGCTACAGTTGCTCCGACAGCACGGTGACTGTGTCTTGGGACGCTGTGACGGGGGCCAACTCGTACAGAGTCGCTGCCAGTGATGGCACAAATCCCGATCTTGAATGTACAACGGTCAGCTCCCTGACATGTGACATAAATAATCTTCTGTGTGGTCAGACATACACGCTGACGGTGACGGCAATTTCTGACGACTGCTCCAGCAACTCAGTTTCCTCATTTAGTACAAGTAAGTAAAGCCAAGGTTGGAATAGTCTGTCACCCTTCAAAATGTCTGTTTGTTTGTTTTTATTTTTTACCAAAGACATGTTAAGTGCTACAGCAGAGGAGAGGGCAAGAGAAATGGGGACATAAAAGGATGTTAAATGCAGACCCCCGTATTCACGAATATTAAACACCATTCATTCTGAAGATTTATATTTACATACTGAAACAAATTCTGTTGTTTTTCAGTGCCCTGTACTCCAGTGTTTTCCAGCTTAGAGTATACTTGCAACAGCGACGTCGTCGTCTTCTCATGGGAACCAGTCAGTGACGTTCAATACTACATAGCCCACCAGAAGGACAACAACAACGTGGAGTCACCATGCATGACAGTGGACACCTCTTGTACATTCACCAGCATACAGTGTGGCCAGTCATACACGTACACTGTAGTAGCCTATTCCACGTTTGGGTGTCAAACTGAAGCTAGCAGTCCTCAGACAACTGATGCAGGTGAGTGGGAAGAAATGATTCATGTATTTCTGCCTCTTCCTTTTTATCATATGGTTAGGCATATTGTCTGTTCCATCAAAACATAACCATCAACATGTATTGATGTCAAGAGGACGCACTGATGTCACTGACGAGTATTGTCTGAGTTGAAAGTCCTAACTCTTAACCTTCAGTATCGTATTCCTCTGTTCCATTGATGTTCAAACCCACAATGCAGCAGTGATCAGACTGAGTCAACCCACCAAAGGGGCTTAGGGTGGGAATCCTGTATTGCATTGATTATTTTTTTACTCCAAAGCTAGAGGCTAGGCTAGCCCTGTTAGCACACCTCACGTCTTTTTCTTGGTGCTACAAATGCAGCTCTGTATCCTTTGAGTTGTAGCACAGTTTGCATGTCCATGTGTAACATTATTTTTTAATATAAATTCAAACTTGCCTCAATCTTTTTTATAAGAACAATGAAAAATTTTTAATATTTTGGACAATCACTCACATTTTTTTTCATCCCGTCAGGAGCCTTATCTCACTTACTGCAACAGATCACATGCACACATCCCTACACACTATTTGATATGTGGACCATTGATTTGATATTTTTTAAATTTATTTGTACAAGTGCATTTAAATGGATTATGCCACACTGAGTGGATCCATCCCCTCTCACAGGACTAATTTCTGTGAGATTTGACAGTAGTTGACATTAAGATGTTACATTTTTCTTTCTCACTGTCCCAGGTCCTTGTCAGCCAACAAACTTTGCAATCTCCAGTGACTGTCTGTCACTGCTCCAAGTATCTTGGGACCTTGCTGCTGGAGCTGACTCCTATCATGTGGAGGCCAGTGCAAACAATGGCCAAACCTACCAATGCACCTCAGAGACTGATAGCTGTGAGATTGCTAACGTGCCATGTGGGGAGCACTTGAGCATGACGATTACTTCATTAACAGATACCTGCAACGCCTTGCCTCTGCTGGGCAGCCCTTTTCAAACTGGTATGAAATGTTAATTCATATCTAAATTGTGTAAAACTAGACATATATATTTAAAAATAATGTCTTTTTAGTTCCATGTACCCCCACCGTGGTGTCTGCAACAAGTAGCTGCAGTCAGGACACCGCAACGGTCAGTTGGACCAATAGCCATGGTGCCATCTTCTACATTGCCAAGCTGGCATCAGGTGGAGTGGAGACACAAAACTGCAGAGCAATGGAAGACAGTTGCTTGTCAGAAGGCCTGGCTTGTGGACAGACTTACACAGTTACTGTGGTTGCCACAAACGCACTGTGCAACAGCAGTGACAGTGACGAAGTGACCTTCACACAACGTAGGTCGAAAGGATCTGTAAGCAATAAGACAAAAATACACAAGACATTGACAGTATCTGCACTTCCTTTCCAGCACCATGCACCCCCACCGACGTTGTGGCAACGCGAGATTGTGGAACTGAATCGGCTACAATAGTGTGGCAAAGTCATCAGGAAGATAGCGAGTACACGGTGACAATAGATGATGAACTAGGTTCGCTCACCTGTAACCCCACCAGTAACACCGACAACAGCTGCAGTATTGAGTCTCTAAGCTGTGATGTTACGTACACCGTCACTGTTACCGTTGCTGACGACACGTGTACGTTCACCTCAGCACCTGCTTCAATGGATTCAGGTAGGTATTCTGAACTGGTTCTTAATGTATGAAAAGGTCTTCTTTGACAAATTAAAGGATATATATCTCTACGCGTTTGTCTTTCTCCCAGTGCCCTGTGTCCCTCAAAATGCCGGGGCCACTCAGAATTGTGATACTGAGGAAGTGACAATCACCTGGGATAACGCAGTATTTCCTGACAGCTACACTGCCACCATTACTGGAGGAGCTAGCCCTGTAATGTGTACTTCTGCACAATCACCATGCATTCAGTCAGGACTCCCATGCGGAACCTCCTACGATGTGGTTGTTGCCTCTGAGCATACGGGATGTTTCAGCACGGACAGTGAACCGATAACAGTGGAAACACGTGAGGTTTTTTTTTTTTCTAAAACCGTAATTACAGCTGTTGGATTCATCCACATCTCCCTTAAATGGTGACTTTTATCTTATTTCTTTTTATTTGTCTTTAGCACTGTGCACCATCTCTAATGTGGCAGCCAGTGGTGCTCTGTCTCCTGTTACTGTGTCGTGGGACAGCACTGATGATCTCTTTACTTATACTGTCACTGCCACTGCCACTGATGATGATCACACACACGTGTGTGTGGGTACTACGACCTGTGACATCACTGACCTCCACTGTGGAACGGACTACACGATTACAGTTGACGGAGCAGATTGTTCAGCTGAAATGAGCGGCGTCCTCAGCACAGGTATCGAACCACCAACCAACAGTCACCGACTGAGGGGCTTCTGTTAGGGGGCAGTCACTGCAGGCACTTTCTTACCAACTACAGTATGATTAAATGATTCAGAAAGAGCGTGTAGCTTCAACCACCTGCTGCCCCCTGCTGGTGGGCTGAGAACCTATTTGCAATTCCTTGGCCCACAGGTTGAATAAACTGCTACTCTGTTGTTTAATAATTAAAAAATATATATAATATCGAGAACTTTTCAAAAAACATAACACCAGAAATTAATGACCCTGCAATGTAGACAAACCATTACACACTTTTTGTGACTCCTCATAGTGAAATCAAATTATATATTTTTTATTAATTATATTACTGTTTCTTTTAAACACATTGTTTGCAGCTGAGGAACATATAGTTCTCAGCCAGTAGTCAATAAATTGTAGAGCTCCTCAAAATTCAAAATCCATACACCGCTATTGCCTTACATTATGTTAATATTTCCTTCTGTCAACCCATAACGTAACCTCAGGTGTCCACTGGGTATTATGAGAAAGTCAGACCTACTAACAGTGCTTTCAATAGTAGGTTTTATTGGCATTTCTATTGGTAACTACATTATTCAACACAATGCCAATGTGCTGGTGAACACAGGTATGCAAACTGATACTGGGCTAGGATTTTAATCTGACTACATACAGTATGTAGTAACCTGCAGACTTTAAAGCCATTTAAGCTAAGGAAGCTAATGTGGACATGCTGATTAGAGAACAGTTTTGGAACAGTGATATCTCTCCTTGTCCTTCCCAGCTCCTTGTACACCCACTGATGTTGGGGTTTCGATTGACTGCCAAGCGGAGTCTGCCCAGCTGTCATGGACGGCCAGCAGCACCGCTATAGAATACATAGGTGCTGCCGAGACTGACCAAGGAGACCAGCTGCACTGCACCACTGACGTGACTACCTGTACCATAGACGGACTGACTTGTGGGACTACTTATAGTTTCAAAGTCCTGGCCTCAGACGATACATATAACAGTTCCTTCAGCGAAGAATTGGTGAAAGGGGGAGGTAAACTATACAATTTACTGTGAGATTTTAAAGTTTTTTTTTTACTTTTATTGTGTAACTAAAGCATTGCTTTAATCCTCTCCAGCACTCTGCCCTCCAAGCAATGTTCATGTGCAGCTGGAGATGATGAATTGGATGATCCAGGTCACAGGATTTGGCTGGACACCGGTGTCCTGCAGTGACACTGAGTACTTGTTGACAATAGTAGGAAACAAATATGGAAACACTGCTCAAAAGATAGAGCTCAAATCCTACTGGACAGATGGAAACTACTTTGAATTGATGATTCCGTGCAGTACAACCTATGAGGCTACAGTGCAGAGCAGAAAAGGAAATGTTGTCAGTGACCCCTCCACTGCTTTCAGTGGAGAGACAGGTAAGATACCGAACATTTAGAGTACCGTTTTTAATCGTTTGTATTTCAAATGGTTGAATTAATGCTAGATCTCTGAGTTAACTGGTTTGGTATCACTCATGTCCCTTTTTTCAGATCAGATTGTTGAAAATCATTTACTAATGTTATGGACTGAATAAATTAGAACTAACTGCACCTTAAGCAGCACAGTAATATGAAAAAAGGTTTGCTCTGTGAGGTAGAACTGTGGACTTTTGAATGTCGCCACATGATGTTTTTCTCAATAAGTTTAAGTACCTCAGTGAAGTTAGAAGGAAGAGGAAGTTGGACTTGTTACACATGAAATGTATGGAATATGTAAAACGTTCACGCTACGGTGATATTCCATCACAAAAGTGGGGCATTTAAGTGGAAGCGTGCAGCAGTGATTTCCTCATGTCAATACTTCAACATTGAAATAAAAGCCAACAGTGGTGGGTATATGACAACAGAAAAATGTTAACATCTCAGTAACACGTCATGTGGCCGTGCGCATCAATGACAGCTTGACAACGACTCATCTCATGCTGCTCAAAAGTCAACTGAGGCTGAGAACAGCAAATTGTGCAAAAAGTATTAAAATATTTAATAGTTGGAAATAAAAGTTCAAACGTTTAGAGAAGCTCACACTAAGTTCACCTGTAAAGATTATAGTACGTCTTAGGTCCAACTCTTAACTAACTTAACATTTACTTTTTCTTACAGCTCCTTGTTATCCACGTCAAGCAGTATACACCAACTCCGGAAGCATTTCTGTTACATGGAGTCCTGTACAACCAGCTACAACATACACGGTGTATGACAACAGTGTCACACCAAGGGTTGAGCTGTGCAGCAGTGTTGCCCCGCCCTGCACTGTCTCCACCGACAATGTTGACAACATGGTGATCACAGCCAGCAATGATATTGGGGAGAGTTATCCACGACCCATCCAAACTGGGACTATCAATTTTATAGGTGAGTTCATGTTACACTTTAGTGTAACAGATTTGGGCTGATGACCTTCATACAGCAGGGTTTTTTTTGTTTTAAATTTAAGGCACATGATACATCCAATTTTCATGATGGCACAATTTCATCTCTTTTTTTGTCACGTTTGTTTCCCAGATCCATTTCTTTTAATCGACGAAGTCAATTCAGGATGGATTACTCTCAACTGGACTCCAGTGGATAATGCCTCAGAATATAATCTATATTATAGACTAGGTGACCCAACTGCTCCCCCCACAACGATGCTAGTGGATTGCTTGATGAAGAAATTCTATTACCAGAGCCCCAGCACAGTGTACTGCTTCTCTGTGGCTGCCACTCTCCTTAGCGGACCTGGACCAGAGTCCAACATGTTTTGTGTTGAAACAGGTCCAGTAACGATTCCAATAGCACCAGCAGAATAATATCTGCTACAGATTTTCCAGCTACAGCAAGACACATCCATACTTGTTGATACATTTGTAGAAATGATTTGTCATGGGTTGAGGACATATATTTTAATCTAAGACTTTGTTTGCTTGCTTTTCCAAAAGGTATATCCACTTTATAAATGATATACTAGTGGCAATAAAGGAAATATATCAATGTTTCATGTGTCCAGAGAATTAACATCTGTCCTTTCTATTTGATCATTTTCACACTACACACAAAACACCTGTTCATCTATTCTTTGCTTTTCCAAAAAATAAATTGTAAGTTTTTATAGCATTAAATGTGATGGCATTGGAGTGGAAATGCATGTGTTTGTAAAAGTGTTTTTAATAGAAAAAAAAATGCATCATAGCAACAACAGAATCACAGCACAAGCAAAGCTCAGGCATGTGGTCAAAAAAACAAAAACAAAAAAATAAATTCCCTCTTTTTAAACAGCCCTGTAAAGGATTAAAACATTTTGAGGCCAAGTACACACAATCACTGACAGACAGACCTGACAGTGTTGGGCCACTAAGCTATAGTATGGATTTGGATCTGTGTATACTGTTCAAAAAATGTCTAATTCGACGTCAACAGATAAAGGTGGTCAGATATACAGACAATACAATCCAATTCCACTCAGGCTCAGTAAAAAGGGACAATTTTCCAGCCTAAACAACAGCTTTAACCGAAACGTCAATGTTGGATTAGAATCCATTTTACATATGGACTACAGCCAAAGCAGTCATCAAGGTCTATCTGAAAAGTTATGCGTAGACAGCTTCCAAAACATTGTATATACAAACTCATCTTCAACCCAGGGCAGGAAGAATTAACCACAAAAATTAAAAACGACAGTTTTGATTTGCCTTTCCCCAAATTTCAAGTAAAAACTAACAAGACTATAATTGGGAGTGAAAAAGGCAGAAAACAACAAAGAAATGCAACATTGCATCATCCAGAGACATATCCAGAAACCGCTTTGCTAAAATACCTTCTTTTCAGCACAAGTGGCAGATCAGACAACTGGGTAGAAAATATACAGAGAATAAAAGAGAGAATATTGCTGCGAGGTGACTTTTACTCAGTGCTCCGACTCCTCTTGCGTTCACTATGTTTATTATTCTGATCATTACTGGACTCCCTCTGGTGGTGGCTCCTGTCTTTGCTACGGCTCCGTTTGTGGGACCGCCGTTCTCCATCTCTCTCCCTGTCTCTCTCTCTGCTGTGGCTGCGGTCCCGTCTCTTGGTCTTCTCCTCTCCACTCTTGTGCCTTTTTTCCTTGCTGCGACTCCGACTGGACCTTTTGGTCTTCCTCTCTTCTTTGTGTCTCTCCCTGTCGTCTTTGTGTCTCCTGTCGTCGCTCTCCCCTCTGCTCTTTTTCTCCCTGGACTTCTCCCTATCACTGCCTCTGTCCTTGTGGTGGTCCCTGTCCTTCTTCCTGCTTCTGTCATCTCCACCGTCTCTTTCTTTTTCCCGCCGTTCGCTTCTTCGCTCTCTGCTGCCACTACGACTTCTTCTGCGTTCTCGTCTGTCTTGGTTCCTATCTGGGCTGCGGGAACGCCGCCTCTCTCTCTCCCTATCTCTGTCCCTGCCCTCCCTCTCCTTTCGTTGCCGGTCACGCTCCCTATCGAGTTCACGGTCAAAGCTAGGGCCACGGCGATCTCGTTCACGGTGGTGGCTTCTGCTCCTCGATCGTTTGGGTGTCTGGCGTGGGCTTGGTGTTTTTTTGGGTGTCCTGCACGAAAAAGTAAGGAAACTCTAAAAACAAAAACATGCAGAAAATACATTCCAGAAATATATATAATAATAAATAATCCACTCTTTAGTGCCTCCAGCGTTAACGTAATATAGCTGAGAACAAGTGAAGCACACGATGTATTCTTGCACAAGTAAGAGTGGAAGCATTGGTGGAGCCATCCAGTGTGTGGGGCAGGATTATAATAATTACTCTGTTTGTGACCAGAACTCCAGATACATAAATATTTGGCAAATCCCAGACAATAGCAATTTAAATATGTTCCCTCTAAAAGGTCTGTAGTCAGCATGGCATTTAAAAGAAAAATAAAATTACCTGGAGCGCCGTCTATCACCTTGCCTTCCTGAATCACCAAATGCAGCTTCTTCCTCATTTGTCTCCTTTTGAATAGTCTTGCGAGGCCTTGCCTTCATCTGCTGGTCAATAATCTTCTGAACTGGAACTGGGATCCGAGGGAAAAGGGTGGAAAACCATTCCAGTTTGGTCAGAAACGATCGCAACATCTCTCCGACGGTCATGACACAACCACCTCCTGCTTTCACGTCAAGCTCCTTAGGGAAAAAAATTTCGAAAAACAATTGGCCAGGAGCCCAAAAGAAAAACATTACCACACATATAATGAAACAAATACAAATTCTTTGCTCTTCAAATTTGGCCTTATATTAAAAAGCATTTTGTGATGACCAATTACTGAACCTTCACCTCTGTTCATCTAGCTTAATCTTGCAAATCAAATATTTATTCAGTCAGATAGTAATACTATTTTCTGCTACTGACTAGACACAACAATGTCATCAATGTAACAAACTTGTTTTTTTCTCCATGGTGTGAACAGGTTCCTAAAATCTGTGTTTACAAAGTGGGCTCAGATGATCAAGCAAAGGGTCAAAATATTATACCAGTAAAAAGACAGCAGCCTTTCAAATCTCAGTATTATTTTACATGTCTGTATTTTTCTGAAAGCTATAAAAGAAGATAAATGAGCATGTAATATGAAAATAAATCCTCCATGAGGTCAAGAAACAGACAAAGAAGCCGTGAATTCCTCCATTTCCCTGAAAAAGAATCAACTCTTGGGTCAAATAGAGATGCCCACAGTGTAAGCACAGGTTGGAACAGGGAGACAAGTGCACACCAGTTGAAAAGCCATCAACTTAAAATGGTAGAGAACATCTTCTTTGCACTCACACACTCAAACCAACAGTGCTGAGATACATTTTCCAATTCACCTGCCGCACAATTGGCATCTAAAGAAAAAAACAGGGCAATTAACCAGTTGTGTAGGATCAATTCATATATATATATATAAAGCAAAGGAACTTCAAATGAGGCCTGGTTGCACAGTGTGGGACAATTACATTTTAGTAAAATAAAATGTGTAAAATAATTACGTACAGTGACGTTTGACATGTGGTGTAATCCTGCTTGTTTGTTTTTGAGAATTTACCAATTTCAAATATAATTTGATTTTGTGCAACAAGTCCTTAAATAACAGAGCATGCTTTAATACAACAGCTGACTTTAAAGATTAACTCAGCATCATGTGTGGTACTTACCCAGAAAAAAACCCCTCAGAAGCAGAGAAGCGAGCAAGTAACTTAGCAATTTGGGTTCGAAGGACAGAAACTAATGACAATTAAGCCAAATGAAGGCAAAGGTGAAAAATCAGTTAAATGAGCACCACAAGTGGGGAACATACAGCTTTGAACATGTACAGTGCAAGGATTTACTGGTAAGTCAGAAAGAAATATCAAATTATTACCCAAGATGACATACCTCCTCATCATCCAGGAAGCCGTCGTACCAGTCAATCAGATCACTTGGTGGCTGAGTGTATCTGACAAAATTAAAACAGATCAGATTCTTAGAAGATATCATTTAATACCACTAATTTCAACTATACATGTTGACTTTTTGTTTTTTTGGAGAAGAATTAGGACTGACTAGAAACAACCATGATTTACATCTTTTGACTCTAGTGGGAATGCATCAGCCTTAGTCAAACAGATAAATAGAGCATACCTTATGTACATGAAGCCTAGTGCTCTGATGTAAGGAGAGTCTGTGTGAGTGATTAGACCCATAAGTTGTTTCCGAGTCAGCTTTAGGGTAAAGAGCTTGTACAGAAGACAGAAAGCAGTAGACACGATACCACCAGTTCCAACACCACGCACCTGAAATGAAAAAAGAAAAAAAAGAAACAAGTGAATCACTAAAACCATGTCAATAATGAATTATTTGTGTACGTGTATCAGTTAGGTTCCAACAAATATGAAACATCACCCAGGTTTCTTTGGAAAAAAATACACAAGGGCTAAGAGACGGGGAATGAAAGGCACGTACTTCTCACTTACCCCTCCGCACATTCCAGTCTGGCCAGCAGTCTTTCTGCTCCCCTTTTCCCAGGGCTCAACATGAGTCACCTGTAGCCACAAAGAGGACAACATAATGATATACTGATACTCATAACTAACATAATTACATTATGAGGAAAATACTTTTAAAAGGACAAGCTACACTTGCCACAAACCAAACATATAATAAAACTCTAGTGCAAAATAAGGGATACAAGATTTGTAAACATTTTCCCAATGAAGTTATTACCCTTAGAGCACACTGCACGTCATCTAAAGCGGTTGCCCATGATGCAACTTTTAAAAGAGATTTTGCCAAAACACTTCGTAAGTTGACGATACACTGGCTTATCCCACACTTGAATAACAGAAAAATAACAAACCAATTCTTTGTTTTTAATTTTCTATTCTTTGCGTATTTCAGTTCAAGGCAGTTGACGGCGCCAAATCACCAAAATCAACACAATTGATAAACCTACTTTTAGACCGATTAAAAACCATGAGTCAAAACAAGGAACGGTAAATTTTCGCAAAGCGAAAACAAAAGACCGATTTTTGTAGACTGCGGCAAATTGCGGGCTTCCCCTATTACACTGGTAGCATGCGGCTTAGCATCCGCTAATGTTACCTTGAAGTAGATCTCGTCCACAACTTCGTGGTACGTCTTTAGCTCGTACAGCTGGACTTTGAAATAGGGAGATGACAGTACGTTGGTTAGAATCATGGGGTTGAGGTTCATAGTCTTTTCGTTGCCCCACAGAGGCAATACATTTCCATGTTTCCCCGACGGAGGCTTGCTGACGGCCTGTGTTGGTGGCTGGCTCCCGACGTTAGCCATATTAGTTTAATCCAGCACCACTAACTCTGTCTCATGTGCGCACATTAGCCTACACAATGGTGTATAGTAAAAAGAAGTCCTTTAGAGAACAACCCGCCCAGGTGTTAAATATAAATATGTTCTGAAATAAATAATGAACTCCCGCCGCCGCTTAAGATTAGAAAACCTGCTGTGGAGGAACCGGAAGTGAATCGCTGGTGGCGCAGTCTGAGCGGAAGTGTCGCAGTCTGAGCGGAAGTGTCGCAGTCTGAACGGAAGTGTCGCAGTCTGAACGGAAGTGCCTCTGTAATTGGATTTTATTTTTTCAAAAACTTATAAAAGAGATCAACAAAAGTAGACGCATATATACATATTGAACAAAGACGAGAATATTCAGGAAACCCCACGAAATTTTATTAATTTGAAATGGTCTCAATTGAGCTTATTTTTGAAGCTTTTTATTTTAAAATTAAATTCTAAATCATTTAAACTTTAAATTTCAAAAACAAGTTTGCTGATATATATTTAGACAGTGCTTGAGTTCAAACACCAGACATAACAAAAATTTACTCTACCTACTTCCTAAATTTCCCAAAGGGAACTCCTGAGGGATTAATAAAGTGCTATCTATCTATCTATCTATCTATCTATCTATCTATCTATCTATCTATCTATCTATCTATGTGCACAGCTGGCCCACAAAAGCTGGAAGCAATTCATATATAAAGTGTATGACTTTTTATCTACAGATATAACCTAAACCACACTTATATTTACCTTCTCAGATTGAAAAAAGCATATGGTTTTAAATAATCACATATAATCTCATTTTGATAACCGAATGTAAGGCATGTCATGTACATCTTTTCACATTTATGATTGTTGATAAAACATTTTACACAAACACATTTAGAGGCAGATTTAAAGAACAAACTGTAGATGTATAAAAAAAACACACATTTTCCTCAGGTGCTTTAGAATTGTAGGATAGTAAATCCCAGGGCAAAGGAGAATAGTAATAAAATAAATAGGAATAAGTAATAATAATAATAAAGCCTTAAGAAAGCCTTAATTTGGATCAACAAACTCTTTTCTCGCAGTAAAAACAAAGTCATTCAGTTTAACAGTACAGGACTAACATTATTGTCAGTATTGATGTGACAATCTAGCCTCATCATGCTCAAAATGTCACAATGTCACACATCATGTTTGGGTCACAAGCCAAGTGACGCAGAAGTGTTTATGTTTAAAGACACAAAGAGAGCCACAAAACATTTAAAGGCAGACGTTTTATGATTGCCCTTCATATAAAACATAAACTATGTTCCAAATTGTGACATCTTTTTTAAAAAAGTACATACAGACTTGTTTGAATGCACTTATTAAATTTTAAATTAAGTTTAGCAAAATATGAAAATATAAAAAGATATTCATAGTAAAAAAAAATGAATAGCATTATATCTTTTTAAATGACAAACAAGTCCAAAGGACAGTAGGGAGCCATGACACAGTGTAACCCCTAGCATATCACATGGTGACTAGTTCAACGGTTACAATAAATACATCTTTTAACCTCTGTAAAGTTGCAGTCCTTGCCTTTTGTCGATATATACAGTATGAGGACCAGAGGAGAACTTTATCACATTTATAAAGTAAATGGTCCTCAACATTTATACACATTTCACATTTCACATTACACATCACATTTATAAAGTAAATGGTCCTCAAAAATTTGTGCTGCTTTCATTTTATCTTTACAGACTTTGTCTATAATCGAAACCCTGGTAAAACAGCTGCAGTTTTCTTACATCTATACTGACTAGTGATTGGTTTCAGTTTAATGCAATTGCCCAACCTGTGACATAGCTGCATCCTAAGATATGACATTGCACATATGTAATTGTATAGTTATTCCTCAGTTAATCCTATTTTGGAATTCATTTTTATTTCTCTTGCTAAGGGTTTGAGTTAGTTTTTAACTGGAAAGTCTAAATAATGTGTATAACTGAAAGAAAAAATTAAATAAAATGAATATACAGTACACTGTATTTGTCAATGTTTTTAACGTCCACTGCATTACTTTGATCACACTTGTTGCAGATTAATAAGCTCTAGTTCTGAAGAGTGAACAGTAGAAGGCACTGCTGCTACACAGGAGTGGTGAGCCAGATACAGTGAGGCCTCCAGGGTGTGCCTTCTCCACTACTTAAGCCTGGTGTCCTCCAATCAGTGTAATACTGCACTCTGTCAAACAGCCAAATGCTTGCCATAGTCTAGCGCTTGATCACCACCTGCTCAAAGGCTGCAGCTGTAGATCTGGAAGAGAATGCCACAATGTGTTAGGAAAAGGGGGCCGGTTATTTGATCTAGCTTGGAGAATTGTGTCATGGCCAAAACTAACCACAAGGTGGTACTTGATAACAGTGGTATTATGTGTTGCTAATCCAAATATTTGGCAATTAATCTCAATCATTATCCTGTTTATTGTTAGATGTCTGGAGAATGGCACCAACAATTCAAAGTTATATAATCACACCCACCTCGTGTTCTGGCTTCCCAAGGCTGTACTCCCACCAGGACCAACAAACAAACTGAGTCCCTCTTCTGTAGCAAGAAAACACTCAAATAAGACTTGAAAGGTAGATTATGCCAGAATCTGACAGCATGATTGATAAGCTGTCCCAGCTCTGCTGTCTGCAGTTAGGCCTCAAAATGTAGATGGGCTAATATAAAACCCTTCTCTAACTTTTTCTTAAATCCATGATTAACTTTCATAAACAATGTCATTCATAATGTCCAAGACATATAGTGTGCCATCATTTTCAATGCATTGTAATCTCTGATCCAAACTTCGCAAGCCAGACTTAATAAATCCATTAAGTTACTGTACACACCCTCAGCACTGGAGTCTAAAATGCTGTGACTGAAATCTTGGCTCTGCAGGATTTTCTCTATTATGTCATCTGCATCCACCCTGGTGGCGTCGACTCTTTTCAGCTGATTTTCCATAGAGTTCTGTTTCAGATGATGTCTGGAGATAAAAAAAAAGCAAAATGTGACGTTGTATAAATCAACCTCTAAAGGAAAAAACACTAAAATAAAAATCCATTCATTGTGTGTTGTCATAGCCACTTCTTTAGGTACACATTTTTACTAAGTACTCAATAGGGCCTTAATGTAGATACTGTATCTAACAAGAAAGTTATATTTCAGCAATTCATTATGTATGACATACAAAACATGTCAGTCACCTGATTAAGTTTCCTTATTAAACACTAAAACCCGACATCTTCAGACCTGTATTTGAGCTTGTTTATTTAAAACCTGTGTGGACTACCTGGGAGGCCTGACAGGGGATGTTTGGTTCCCAGTTGTATGTGGACAGTTTGAGGAGACAGGTGGAGTGGACCTTTCTCCTTTGTCTATCTGCTGATCACTGGGTTCAGGGATGCTGCCTATGCCTGTGGAGACAGAGCCTCCTGAGGCGCTCCTCCGATGGCTGAGGTCAGTTAAACTGGAGTGATTGGAGCTGTAACCTGCAGTCATTATAAAACACGGTTAAGCACTATGGAATTGAACTGCGTTCATAATGATAACAACAATATTCACACAAAAATGTCAAACTAAGAATCAAGAATTTGCTGCTCCAAATGCAATACCTGAGATCTTTGATTTCTGACTTGCATAGCTGGACGTTCTAGAGTGACCATAAACCACCAGTTCCTCTGGCACTGAAACGGATTTCTTTGGAGTCTCTACAAAAGACAGTCATCTGCTCATTAAAAACAACCCCGTACAAAATCTCTGGCTTTGTATTGAACAATCATAATAAAATAAAAGGGCATATACTGTGAAAAATATCAGAATATTTAAGTGTCAGTACCACTTATACTTACCAGTGACTAGATGCAATATGTGCATGTTGCTTCCCTTTCTATCCTCTAGCAGACACCCTGATTCGGCTTGTGGAATTCCTAAAGTCATGGCTGTAGATGGAGGCCTGTGGGAAAAAAACACTTTGGAATTTAGTTAATAAATCAACCACACCTCTGGTAGATACATACTAAGTTATAAGTGCAGAGGTAAAGTAGGTATAAATGAAACTAAAAGTAAAATCCTTTTTTATCACACTCAGCAGCAGACACCGGAAACCTCACTTGTGGGTTAACTAGTTTCTCCAGTCAACACAAAAGTAAGTGCAGACTTAAGCGAAAGGTGTCAGATCCTTGATGCTGCTGTAAAGGCTCTGTGTTACTCACTTTGTGTACATGTAAAGGAAGTCAAAGTGAGTAACACAGAGTGGGACGAACACCTGTGCTCTCTGTGCCTTTAGGCATCTCTGAGGAAGAAGCTGTGTGAATAATTGAACAGACACTGTTATACATGACCCTCTTCTTAAAGACACAGCTGGTAAATAATTAAATGTATAAAATAAGTTGTTTTTTCAACATGTAGGGGCCAAAATCCAAGAGCTGGTTAGCTAACTGCTAATGTTTGCTACTGTAACTAACTCCTCTGTCTCCAAATCATTTGGAGAAGCATTCATTTTTCATTTCAGAATTTTGAAATAAAATCTAAGGTATAAAATACCACGTCTAAACTCTTTAGTTCATAGAGAAACAGGAAGAAAAGACAGGATGTGATATGAATAACTGTTTCATCTGCGGTAAAGGGCAGACAGTTGCACACACAGGCATGTAGTTTATCACTGTTCACCTGATTAATCAAAGGGTGGTTGAGGATTTCTTGGGTTTTGATCATAGTTAATAATTGATAATTAAGCAGGATTAATCATGATTAATCCAGAAAAATTAACATTATATATATTTTTTAAATTTCTGTTCAATGTTGGAACTTACAAATAACATAGCAACCAAATTAATTAACATGTATATTGCGTTACTTTTATCAGCCCTACTTTTAAAACATGTGAGCTAACTTAAACATAGAGTACAAGCCTTGTTTTATTTGCTTATTATTATGACACAGAACATATTCCTAATCTGTAAAGATGTGCAAACAGAAAAACACTTACGTTTTAAAACAGGGATCTCCAGACATTAGTTGTGTGCTAATGACAACCTGTAAAAGAAATTTAAAAAAATACTGCATGTTTTAGACTGAAATAAAACAGCATCTAAAAACAAGAGGGGGAACAAAAGTTTGACTGTCGTTACCCAAAAAAGGACTTTGACTAGTTTATGACTAAAGTAGAGCCATGACTCTCTGGAACTTTGTGCAACCTTTAAATGTGTTCAGGCATCCAACATGCTGGAGCATGTCTTGCAACATCAACTATGAGGATGTTCATGTTTTCCATTGATCTCATAAATCCCACACAGAAGTGTGTTCATAGTGACAAACCAACGTCAGAGCTGAGGGCTTGCTTCAGAGCTGCATACCTTGAGAATTGAGTTGTCCTGTCTGGTGTTTTTGGTGTCATAACCCTCCAGGAGACACCGCCGAGTCATGTTGCCAGAGCCGGCAAACTCTGATAGGTTTAAGTCAGCAAAGCCCAGCTGTGGACAAGACCGATAAATTACAAACTGTTCATCCATTAAACATGCCACTGCAGCTCAGGTTGGCCAAGTCTGGTTGTAGAATAAGATTCCTTTTAATAAAAACATATTATGTCACTTATCACTAAGGTTACTGGTTAACACTGTGTCCTTTTTGTTTCACACTTTGATAAATCAGTAACTAAAGCCGGAAACTATAAATTAAACTTCACAGACTCGACTAGCCACAAAATGAATTATGGTCTGATACCACACTGAACATCTAAACATTTTGTGAATTGACTGTTTTATACAATCATATATACATAAGCTTCTATGTCTTTTAATACATATATTTGTATATTTTAGTAGACCTACCTTTGCAAAAGCTTTCCCTCCTTTTAATTCCTTAAAATGACAGAAAGCGAAATAAGTGACGTTGGAATTTTCAGCATGATGACTATCAAAGAGTTACAGCGCTATTGTACAGTGATAAACCACCACTCATTATTATTGTTGCTGACACATTAAAATCTCAACATGTCTCTGGTGAATATGCTCTGTTTCTTATCGTCACAATAAAACAGGAACAGGGTCTTTTACCTTGCGCACAGACACCCGGCACACACAGGGGTCCAGTACACCTGTCCCAGCATTAGCACTCATCTTACACATGAACGTGAATCTCTTCCTCCAGAAGACACAGTTGGCCTGGACTGGTTCCCTGAGACAGAGACAAAGAAGTCTTACTCTTGGAAACAGAAGGAGCAGAGGGTACTCAAAAGACAGAATGTTTTAGTTTTTTTAATCAATATATATGGAGGAATGTTGTCTCAAAATATAAAGAATCAAAAAGGAAAATACACGAGCTGGAAAAAGAAAAAAGAATGCACCGTGTACATTTTGTAAAAACAGCTATAGTATAAACTGCTAAAACTTAATACAATATGTATTAACTTTGTATCTAAGGAATATGTTGTGAAACAAAAGAGATACATTTTAATAATTTGACTGCATTAAATTATTTTACTATAATTTAATGCACCTAATCTAATACTAGACAGATTTCTGTCACAACCATTTTAGGTCAGATACACCGCTGTAGTTAGCAAAACATAATAAAACCTGCAAATATAGCTCAGAGTTAGCATTGAGCTGTAATCAATGATTAATCTTATTTCATATCACTAAAATGTATCAAAGGTAAGTAGTAGTAGTAGAAATAGAGCAAAAACTTTATTCTTAGGCTAGAAAGAGAATTTAAAATGGCAAAGTAAATAAAATAACATTTAATCCAACATACTGTAAAAATATTAGCTTGAATGTGCAAAACTGTAAAAATAAAGATTAAATAGGCATGGCAACAGTAGGGTTAAGCAGCTTAAAGTTAACACAGCAGCACACCAAACACAGCAGTGTCAGAAAAGCCACTACTGTTAATATGCTTTACATTTACAGTCATAAGCAGTAATAAGTACTGAATGCCAACACAATACTTTCTTCATTCAACAATAGTCTGCAGGCAGCTGTGGTTGGTTAAAGAGGAAACACTGTGTTTACACTGAAGTTTGCGGCAGCGGACTGTTACCATGGTGAAGTAATGACTGGGTCGGTGTCATTTTTATTTCCAGACTGACTCATTTAGGTGCTCTGTGCACAGTTACATTCATGGATACAATACAAAGGCTCTGACCTTCTGAGTGTAACACAACTCAAATATGAAATGGAGAAATAAGATGACGTGTTCTTTATAAATATTTAACAATACTATTACGTTTATTTAATAATGTTTTGTACAATAAGTTTCGTGTAATGTGTAATGTTTAATTTAATCTACTATATTATTTATTTATTATTAGCCCACATCTTCCAAAGCCTTTGTTCAGTCATTATAGAATATTGGTGAAACATTTATTTGTCCCTTAAGGTCTCCTTATTGCAAATCTATCCTTGTTCTACTGTGAATGGTTGTCTAGACAAAGTTACAGAATAAATAATACACTTACAATTATTAAAATATCATGCCACAGAGTAAACACAGCAACCATGAAACAAACTTTATTAAAAATTAACCAATACCTTTTAGTTTCTAATAAGATCGTGTCCTGTTTTTAATTAAAATGTGCAGATTATAGGTTTAATTAACGATTAAACAAGTTTGGAAACTAATTGTCTTGACCCACTCACTGAGTAACTTATAACTTATAAGTTTAAATAGGCCTGAATGTTAAGCCAGTAATTTATCTAGTGAAAAAAACAAACAAAAACAAAAACCTTTCACTTCAATCTAAGTGTGACTTGTTTTGAGTAGGCAGTGGAGTCCTGCTATAAATAGCAGACATTCTCACCGAGTGGACTCCTCCGCGAAGCCCCCGTCCAACAGTCGAACTTTGCAGAACAAAACTCCGTTTACGAACGGAACCGACGACAACTCCTCCAGATCAAAGTCCACTTTAAACTTAAACCTCTTCTTCTTCATCAGGATAAAAGACATGGTGTCCAGTCCCGAGACGGGCAGGCAGACAGACAACCAAAGTTCCTCACCCTGGTGTCACTAAAACTCTCAGCTGCTTCTGTTTCTGCAGACTCAAAGTTCAAATCTCCTCCTTTACACCCACTGCAATGCACGTTTATGACGCTACATTGATTCTGTACGATGATTGGACGCCGCAGCTGCCTGTCAAAAATAGGCAAAAAGACAAAAACAATGGGGTGAAAACATTGTTGCTTGTTGTAAATGGACAGTATTTGTTTTTTGATCTTTATGCAGGTTTTAATCCAAGCCAACAATAAGTTACAGTACTTAACAAAGTTTTAAGCGACCCCTTCTCTTAAGACCGGACAATATTTATATTGCATTGCTGTAAATAATCAAATCTCTAACAATGTCAGCACAAAACCTTCTGGAGTTTTTATTTGTCTGTTTTATAGTCATGATATATTGTATCCCCGTGTCGGCCCCTGTTTTCCACTACAGCTAAGTTATTGCCATATGAATAATCCAATTTCTTTATCGGTACAAGTTTGAGAACCGTCGCTTTTTCTATGGTCAGTCCTTAATGTCTTGTGACCCATAATTAACTACAGATCCAGGCACAACACCGCCCTCTCGTGGGCATCGCTGTTATCGCTAGGTCTTGTGGGGAGAAATGTGATACTGTGTGTAGATTTAAATGACACGTCTTTCTTACAGACGAAAGGATCGCGTTTCCTTTGTACCTACACCGCTGTTAACAAAACAAAGAAATATAGCTACAGACACAAACAGAATTTTTGAAACGCTAATTCATCAGGCGTTACAGTATTTCTTGCGCCGATTTTCTACTGCATTTCCCCATCATTTTTGCTCTTCCGCTAAAAAACATCGAGGAGCTGCGTCACCTTCTTGACTCCACCCACAACTACTGCAGAAACACTACAGCCAACACCTCTGCACACACGGGACTGCCTGCGGAATACAGCCTACCAGAGATCACAAGAGTGTTTAATCTCCAGCATCGACTCTACGCCAGGATTTAGTAGCATACGCACGAATTAGATTATGGATTAAACACCGACACTGACTGCAGACACGCTCGGGCAGAGGCTGCTTCACTTCCACTTTCTGCCCCAACACCATGTATCAGGCGGTGCGGAAGGCTGTGGTGTCCAGTGCGCGGTGCTGGGATGCCAACAGTGAGAAGTCCTACCAGGACCTGTTCGAGAAGCTCGACACCAACAAGGATGGGAAGGTGGATGTGGCTGAGCTGAGGGAGGGACTCAAGGCGATGGGCATATTCCGACAGGGTGCTGCTCAGGTAACACCCTCCATCATCGTGGGCCATGTTGGGTCAGTGGGTCAGGGTCTGTGCTGTTCTGCGACATAAGTCCAACAGTGAGTGTCTTCTAACGGCCCCTAGTGCAGTAATGTACTCCCACCGCAGCCGGCGGACTATAAATGATGTCAGTGTTATTGGCAGCATGGCTTGATAAATTAGTGATGTGAAATACACACTTGTTTTTTGAGTTATTCTTCATAACTTTGAACTTCATGTCATTAAAGACACATTTAAAACAGGAACAGATTAATGGAGTTTGGGCATTAGAAATGATGTATAAATTCAGACCCCCTCACATGTCATAATAAAAACATTTCTCTTGTGAAACTTCTTGGTTGTCATGCACTAGATCACGTGTCAATCTCGAGGCCCGTGGGCCAAATGTGGCCCGCCAAGTCATACTGTGTGGCCCGCAGTGTTTAATTGCCTTAAAATAAAGTCCATGCTGCTGAGTTTCTTAACTTGATAATAATAATAAGTAATAATCAATTTCAGAAACATGTATTAATATGCCATACCTGTAACTATGTCGTAGTTACAGGTATACAGTCAATATAATATATATAATACAATAAAATATTATTTATATTTGTAGTTTAGAGTGTGTCCAAAAATGTGACGTATTTGAGAATTACTGTGTTCGACTCTTTGCAGGCCTGAATGTTTCAGGTTATTTTCTTATAAACCACTCGGATGTTTGTTTTCAGAAAATCGTGTCATCTGGTGACCAAAACAAAGATGGATGTCTGGATTTCGGCGAGTTCACACGATATCTAAAAGATCATGAGAAGCAGCTCCGACTGACTTTCAAAAGTTTGGACAGAAACAATGACGGTTGGCAACTTTTGGATTGAGTTTTCTACTTCATTATAAATTGCAGTGTAAAGAGTGTTTCACACCTGATTATGAACACCAAGGGACTGTTTATGTCACTGCTCATCCAGTGTTGATAGTGGTCCATATTTCAAAAGAAATTTTCTTGTTTCTGTGTTCCGTCAGGACGCATCGATGCCACAGAGATCCAGCAGAGCCTGGCAGAGCTGGGAATGGATATCAGCAGAGAGGACGCTCAGAAGATCCTTCACAGGTATGGATGTCTTTAAGAAGTAGTTTCAGCCCCATGAACTTCTTCTTTCTTTGTACTTCTTTTGAAAGCTACGGTTGCTAAATTAGTTTGTTTCAGGATAAGGCCCTTAATTCTATTCTCATGTTTGCTGGTTAAGTGTAAGCATTATGTTGGTAGATGGGCTTGAAGTTTGACACCGCAAAAAAAAAAAAAAAAAAAAACATTAGATATTTCTGAGAACATTATTCCAAAGAAACTATTTCACACTGAGTCTTTCACAAGAGAAAGGTTCTGGGATTGGACCCAAGTTTTTTTAGTGAACATTATTCAATGCAGTCACTCACCGTGCTGTCTTTTTGCTTTTCTGCTAATTTGTTTGTGGAAGTACTTTTCAAGCCCCACATGCTGCAGGATATTTATTGGAGGTGCAACTGGAAGACATTTTTTCTTTTTCTTCTGGAATGAAGCCCTGTATCAACAATCATGCATACTTCATGTATTCAAATATAGATTTGGAGTGTGTTTTTAATACAGGAGAGTGAAGAAGATGGTAGTTGTGCAACATGGAGGAGGAGACCTGCAACACTACTAGCCGGCCACCTGACTTTTGTCCTTTGATTTTACATGCAAGGATCCATAGTTGATGACAATTTTCTCAGTGTTTTACCTACTTTACAAAACAGTATAAAACTATATAAAAATGTCACAATGGTTTCTTTAAGTCTTGAATGTAGTCCCTGTATGTAATGTGAATAAATCCTAAATGTAGTCACTAGAGTGGTGTGTTGCATGATGTCATCATTTTTGTTTCTCTGTGTTTCTGCAGTATGGACATCGATGGCTCCATGATGGTGGACTGGAATGAATGGAGGGAACACTTCCTGTTTTACCCAGGTCATGACCTCGAAGAGATTATACGCTACTGGAAACACTCCTCGGTATGGATAAAACAGTTGCACACACACATACAGTCTTCAATCTGCAAAATTCAAGTGTCCCCACAACAACAGTGTATTTACAGAAATATCCATTGGTAAAAACACACAAACATTTCTCAACTCAAATCCCAAGAGGCCTCTGAGGCTCGAGATAAAAACAGACAGAACTGAGTTGCAGCCAATCACATGAGGCTTGGTCTGGTTATGTTGGACTTTATGGACCGTCTCCGTATTTTATCACTAGTTTTAAATGATACAAAGATAATGAGGTCACAGGCAGACACTTGTTTTCCTCAGCTCAGCCAACCCTGCAGAAACAGTGACGTCTGTGTTCTGTGTCCTGCAAAATATTTAGCCTCCGCTGTTGACAACACGTGTTTGGAATCATGTTCTTCTGTGTATCTGTGGTGTAGGTTGTTCATGTCTTTACATGTTTTACCTTCAGTTCCATGCTTGACCAACAGCCTACTTTCCTACGCTACGTCACAATATTCTAGACCGACTGTGTTTGTTATTGACACATGTATGCTTTTGGAAAAACATTGAACACACTACGACTCTTCTAAACCATAGGTTTTAGAAATGATTCCACTTGAACACAACTAATATGTAGTTTGGTTATTCATTTAACATTGAACAGAAAAATAAATTAAATGTTTGTGTTGAATGTTGGAGGTGTATCTGATGCAGAGGCTCATGTCTGGATTGATACACGCTCCCTTTAAAACCTAATCTTTACACAGAAACTCCATAGGTTTGTCAATGTTTACTTTAACTTTTCTTAGCTAACTGTTGACCTCCCTATTAAGGAAACCAGACCACAAGAGAAAAACACAAACACACATGAGAAAAAACAAGCAAGAATTTGAAAGAAAGACCGTCATTTACCACTAGGAGTCGCAAACATGATTATAGTAACTGATTTTCGATTTTTATATTAGTTCATTTGTAGCTAGTAGAATTTGGTTGATCAGTAAAAACTAGACATGGCTCAATCTGATACTCAGGATCGGTATTGGTCTGATATTGGTCAGAATTTTAGCAGTCCGTCTGATCCAAATACTGCCAAATACAGCCCCAAACACGATATTATCAGCTAATACTCCAAGTTGGAGTATTGGTATCGGACACCGTGTTTTTGCATATTCCTGCTCTGATAGTCAGTGCTTTATGTAAAGTTTAGTCCCTTTGTAAAAAAAAACCTTCAGACATTACCATTATCTTAGTGTTGAGATACATCTGAAAAGCAGAAGTGCCATGTTTCCTGTGTAAAGGTTTTGACACACTGGTGTGTTTACAGCTTCACCAGTCTGTTTCCTGTCTACCAGTGCAGTGAGTGGTTGTTGTTTGTTTCAATCTACAGGTGCTGGACATTGGTGACAGCCTCACCATCCCTGATGAGTTCACCGAAGAGGAGAAAAGCTCCGGTGGTTGGTGGAAGCAGCTCTTAGCTGGAGCTGTGGCAGGAGCCGTCTCACGTACTGGGACCGCTCCGCTGGACAGGATGAAAGTCTTCATGCAGGTGAAAAGACAGTCTTGTTCAAAGTAATTTACATGCAAATGTGTTTTTTGACTAATCCTGTCCCTGCAGGTGCACTCCACCAACACCAACAGGATCGGCCTGATCGCAGGCTTCAGGCAAATGATCAGAGAGGGAGGTTTGAGTTCACTGTGGAGGGGAAACGGAATCAACGTTTTAAAGATCGCTCCCGAGACAGCGATCAAATTTATGGCATATGAACAAGTGAGAGACGGACCGTGTCAAACTGATAATAACTTGTTGATTTCTCCATGCTTCTAATCAATATTTCTGGGTTTATCCTGCAGTATAAGAAATTACTATCGTCAGAAGGCAAAAAGATTGAGACACATAAGAGGTTTATGGCTGGTTCTCTGGCAGGAGCCACAGCACAAACAGCCATCTACCCCATGGAGGTAAGACTGGGGCTGCAACAGTGTGACCACTGTATAATCTGCCAACATCCGATAAGTAGAAGAAAACAACAGAAGCTGTTGTTGTTTTTACCTCTGTGAATGTGCACCGAACCACCAGTTATACTGGTTCTCCCTCTAGTGGTACACCATGCTTCACATAGTTGTTGAACACAGCTGTTCATAGCTGAGGTGGGGGCAGGTGGGTTCACGGGTGGGGTGGTGAGAATTCATTACAACTGGTATTCAAGTACCAGTTGTAGTACTACTACATTGTAGAGTGTGGCTCAGTCTGATCATTAACGTGCTGTCAAGGTTCTGAAGACTAGACTGACGCTGAGAAAGACGGGCCAGTTCTCAGGAGTCTTTGACTGTGCCAAGAAGATCCTGAAGAAGGAGGGGGTCAAAGCTTTCTACAAGGGTTACGTTCCAAACTTACTGGGCATCATTCCCTATGCCGGGATAGACCTTGCCGTCTATGAGGTATGCAGGCTTTGGGATGCATTTCCAACAGTCAGGAAAACAGTTCTGTAGTGACGCACCAATGTTCCCCCTCTGAACTCTTCTCTTCAGAGTCTAAAGAACACGTGGCTGTCCTACCACCCCAAAGACTCAGCCAACCCTGGAGTTCTGGTGTTGCTGGGCTGCGGGACCATCTCTAGTACCTGTGGCCAGCTGGCTAGTTATCCACTCGCACTTGTGCGTACAAGGATGCAGGCGCAAGGTAAACAGGGGAAAGTGTTTATTAGGAACCTTCAAAAAGATTGTACTCATCAGTATAACACGTCATATATAGTAGTAAAATACTTATATTAACTAAAAGATAGTAAGTTATGCCATAAGTACCTCAAAGTTAGCCTTAAATGCTAAAGCCAAAGATGATTCTAAAGTTACCTCAGGGAAAGCTAAAAGTAAGCTAAGTAGATACAGTAATAAATGTTGAATAATTATTCAAAATAAAAGTTTGTTTTCAAAATAGCTGCAGTCTCTTTTTTATTTATATTAATTATATCAATAAATAAAACCAAAAATACTTAATCTTCAGTCCTAATACAGTAAGACCTGTTTAAGGCTGGCTAAAAACTGGTTTTACAACATACAACAACCCTAGAATTGTTATCTCAAGGTGAACCAACAAATACCTAAAGGTGAGACTGAAAGACTTCAAAGATGAGAGGTAACCAGGAACATAGGAAAATATTGCAAATATTTAGGAAAAAGCTAGTCTTGAGCCAAAAAATAAAGATATATTGCTCACTTTAGCTAAAAATTGCAATACACAAAAAATACACAAAAATACAATATTTAATTGCCAAACTCTTGTTTAAACCTTATCTCTTGTCACCTCATGTTTCTTCACAGCATCCCTGAACTCCTCAGAGCAGCCGTCTATGACATATTTGATGAAAACAATTGTTGCCAAAGATGGTTTTCTAGGACTTTACCGAGGGATTCTGCCAAACTTCATGAAGGTC